ACACAAAAACATAGTAATATAACGTCGAATAAGTGCATAAAAATGTACTTGTCATATTCAAGAATTGGATTTCGTCGATAATGGGCTCAAACTTTTATTTAAGTTTTCCAAATGGCTTATAGTGGAATATTAATATTTATAGATTTTCAAAGCCTACCTCAATGAGTGGTAATTAAAACTCTATGTCTATAAAGAAAATCAAATCATGCTTGAGTTGATAAATTAGCAACTAGAGAATACATAGTTCGTCAGAAATCAACTAGTTATGAAGACAAAATGACCATTTTCCGAGAAATTGCTCACATTAAATCTGTAGCCTATTGCTTAGATGCTACCAAAAGACTCTTTTAGCAGTTATAAGTAGATGATAGGAGCTGAGCAATACTAACAAATAGAACTTGAACCTAATGCAGTGGATTATTAGTTTATCCTTTTAAAAGGAAGACAATTCTACGTAGTAACATGCACTTTCAGTTGAAAAACTCTCAGATCAGCAGCAGAAAGTAGGAGCTAGTATGGAACATATATTTTATCATTTAATTCTATAAGAATCACTATCAATTTTTTTTTCTTCTCATTTTTAATATAGATATTGTTACGGGCCTGCGTTAGACCCTCCACCTCGCCCTCCACGTGTCAGTATATGTGGCCCAACCACGCGTTGACCGAGGTTATTATACATGGACGAGCCGACTGTGCATGTCGAAGCGATTACTCGAAGGACGAACTGAATGGGCGTCAGCAAACGAACCGGACCCATCCACCAGTACGCAGTGGATGCAAAGGCCCGCACTTCGCTTCTACAACGCTGCAACGCCTCACCCGCCTCGCCTCGCCTCGCCATCAAAGATCTCTTGTATAAAGATCTTTCTAAAGTCAAATCTCTGACTGATGGGACGTGTGGCATGTCCTCAAACGGTCAAATCTGCAGCCTATGTCAGGAACATTCAATATCAGTCGACCTATGGAGGGACGAGTGACACCTAGGATGGGACGAGCCTTGAGGATCTGACTACACGCGTCCTCTCATCCAATGGCCCTCCTCTTTCAATCCTTAGTATAAATATCCCCTCATTGTGCCAAAGAAAGGATTGGAAAATCCC